ACATAACAGTCCAGTCAAACTTCATGGTAACCTCGCCTCATGGAACTGTATGATTGACAGCCACTGGGTGGTGAGCATAACAGACTGGGGACTGCATGATTTTAAGGAAGGCGAGGATAAGGTGGACTGTGATGTAACAAAGATGTATGCAGGTAAAGAAGCAGAAAAATACACCTGATTCTTTGCACATGTCTGAATGAGGGCGTTGCTTTTCCCAGCTGAGATCACCATTCGAGAGTTTACAATTCGTAAATTCTAACTGCAAAGCTTGAGATAAACGTTACTATCCATGCTTGGCCTACGAACAGAAATAAAACAAGATATGAGAAATAACCCACATAAGATGGCATCACTCACTCCAGAGTTCTCTGTAGCTCCATAGTGGTGGACTGGAGCGAGGGTATGTGGTTCGATTCCTCATGAGGATTCAGATTTATTTCTATGCCCCAAAAGAGCGACAAAACAATCAGCATCTTTCTTTAAAAATAATGTTGCTAAGCCTGTGTCAGGCACTCAGTTGGTGTAAAACATCTAATAGTTCCTGGAATGAAAACATGAAACCAGAGAGTCTATCGATCAGACCAATCTCACTTTCATTTCCCTTGCTCTATTTCGCGTTGATCTGTCAGTGCTTTTGGCATACTTATTGACGGCATACTCATCTCTTCATTTTCTTTTACAGATCTGTTATGGACAGCACCAGAACACATAAATCTAAGCAAGGTGGAGAGAGAAGGCTTGTCACAGAAAGCTGACGTCTACAGTTATGGAATTATCTTACAGGAAATTGCTACTCGCTCAAAACCCTTCATTGATTGTCCTCTTGGACCTAAAGGTACATTAAACAGCTTTTCAAAACGATATAGTCAGAGATACGGCTCCGATTAAAATCAATCATCTTTGTGAGGACTCCAGTCCTTGCCTTACATAAAGCCTCATCTTTGTGGATGAGAGGATATCGCTGTTGAATTAACAGCGCATGCCGGCGCAAAAGAACACATTCGAGTTTACAAGTATTTTGTGCAGTGGATTTCCCTTAACAATCCTCTCAGCCTTACAGAGAGAGAATTCACCTCTTTAGCTGGATAATTCCTTACCGAGGAAAGACAGTCATTCTTACAAATCACACATACTGTGTATTTATTTATTTTCTTTTTATTTCTGTGAGAAAAAGTTCGTGGCTGGTCGTTTAGAATCATCAGATACTTTTGGAATTGTTAAGAAAATTCGCTGATGATAGAAATCTGGCCCTTTATCGGAGAATGATTCCCAACCGCATGTTAACAAGCTACATTTATGCACAAAGAAACAACGAACAAAGAACATTGTAAGAGTCTTTGAATGCGATTCCCAAATAGGAAATTCTGATGATTTCCTTGGCTGAGATGAAACATCGTGTCATACTAGACACAAACTATTTTCCATTTGTATTGAGCAATTTTTTTTGTTCCTTTTGTAATACAGAAATTATCCATCGTATCATGGGGCATGACGACCCTCCATTCCGCCCAGACCTGACCTCGGTGGAAGTGAGGCCCGAGTTCGTTGATTTGATGGTCGACTGTTGGAGTGATGATCCCGAAGAAAGGCCGCATTTTTTTCGCATCGTAGATCGCCTCAAGAAAATTAGCGGCAGGTATAATTATTTAAGTATATTTATCAATATTACATGCTCATTGAAATTATTAGTAAACCTTGCAATCTGATTTGCTTACAGTAGAATGATTTATTCCCTTATTCCACTCTTTTTGCTTCAAATGGCATCTTTTCAATAGAAAATAGAAAGCAACAAATCAGATTTCAAAGCGTGTATAAAGTAACCAATCACATTACAGGTAATGAGAGACAAAGAAGCTATCATGTCTCAAATTTTGCAACTTTTGTTCTTAAAACTTTATCTCTTTTCGAAACTCTAAATTAATTTTATTAGAAAATTGAGTTTAACAATTTAAAAATAAATGCAATAAAGTGGTAATTGAATTTCGTGTCGTGAAATTTTGGTATGAAATTATTTTTGTGATTCGAAATATGAAACTCGCACTACGCGCCCGTTCGATTTTGAAATCACGCGTATGATTTAGGACCAAATTTCACTTCACTCGGTTTAATTACCATAACTTATCATCACAGTCCCTAATATCATCATCATCATTACAACGTGGCACTTAAAAATATTTTTTGTTTGTGCGATAGGCTGTTAAATTTATTCCATCATTTCGCACAAAGCGAGCTAATTTTAGTACTTACCAATTTCCTCTGCATTGTTCAGGGGATCAAACATTGCAGAAAATATGGTGTCTATGATGGAAAAGCACGCCAATCATTTGGAGCGACTTGTGGACGAGCGAACAAGACAACTGAACGAAGAGAAAGAACGAACCGAGAAGCTGCTTAATCGTCTTCTTCCACCGTAAGTTGGAATTTACGCATCTATCGAAGTTGGAACTTCTACTGATCTTTGTTATGTTATTGTTATATATATTAGCAGGCTGTATATTATTGTCATAACTGGCCTTTGGTTGGATTTATTTTAGATTAAACTGTGCAAATGAAAGGTATTGAAATATATACATGCTGCTCAAATTGATTTCTTTATTCAGTGGTTTCCAGCCTCGCTTTCGCGTAGCGTAGGCGACGAACAAGACCAAAAAAGGCGTGAAGGATTTTGGTCAGTGCATACTAGTGGTTCCTTCCCCTAAAATAGTTCAATTTACCACTGCTCTCTGTCTGTAGGATGGTCGCCGAACAATTGAAGACACGCAGCTCAGTCCAAGCTCAGGAGTTTGAAGAAGTCACCATATTCTTTAGTGACGTTGTGGGATTCACTAAGCTGGCGTCTCTCAGCAAACCACTTGAGGTATAGAAACGATGAGCAGTGTATACGAACTACGCTAAGTTAAGCTAAAATTACACTCGTGCAATCAGTCTGGAAAAAATTTTTCTTTGGCAAGCCCATCTTGGCAATGAAATTGGAAATAACTTCTCATTCACCGAGTATAAGGGTCGCAGTGGGTAATATTTGCCCGAGGTCGTGGCAGTGCGCGATGTTTCGTGGAAACAGTCCGTTAGGCAAAATACCAACCTAGTAACAACCGATCAGAACGCCCAGATTTCCCCAAGCCCTTCTTGCCATATAATAATGAAGCTTATCATCTACCATGTCCTCCTTCGAATGCAGATTGTAGATTTCCTGAACGATCTCAACGTCGCTTTTGACGAGATAATCACACGATTTGACGTTTACAAGGTAAGTGCTGAGTGCTTTTGAAATGCCATGCATTCCCTCCTTCGTATTTTTCAAGACAAGACAAGCAAAAAATTTACAATCATACACCTTCAACTTGGTTACAACGCAGAAGAGGTACGAGCACGCCAGAGTCAAGTGAGAGCCTGGTGTGGGACAAAGCTCTTATCATCTCCAGGCCTTCTGGTAAATCCCACCATTACGAGGCTCATAGTTCAAATCCATCTTGCAAACTGCTGGAGTCAGAAATTTCAATTATAAATGGAGATGGTAAAGTTTGAACGCCCTCGTTGTGTAAAGAAAGATGTTATTCATTTTCTTAGGAGCGCTGAACAAAGGGAAAATCTGACAATTTTCTCTATGATTAGCACTATTTTATTACAGTTTTGCTAAAGTTGACGCGATCGTTCCCTTGCAAGGTCTGAGGACCAATTTGTTCGGCAAAAACCCTTGTGACAAAAATAACATTCCTTTCAGGTCGAGACTGTCGGTGATGCATACGTCGTGGTTAGCGGATGTCCCAAGTTGAACGGCAACAAACACGCTGGAGAGATCGCGAGCATGGCTTTGGAACTTCTAAGTCACATGTTTTTCTTTCGTGTCCGTCATCTTCCAGATCATCAGCTTCAACTCAGAATTGGAATACACACAGGTAGCTTGGACTATGATCGCCGCCATCTTTGAAACTACTCAGTAACCTGGCCGTACAGGCAAAACCACAGGACCCCGGATAAAAAGTTCAAGGATTGAACTTTCGTCGAATCCTCCTTCACAGTAGCTATTTTTATACAAGGCCCAGTTATTCAAAGGGCGGATAACGTCATCGAACAGATACATTGCTATACAGCGAAAATCTACTGGATAGAGATTTTTCCAGCGGATGGTGTTTTCCGTCCTTTGAATAAATTAAACGGGTACAGGAACATAAGCT